TTTGTAGAGACTCTCAATTGGAATCTTGTCGTGAGGGGTCTGAACAGGAATACTTTTGCACAGGCTTTCAACAGGAAGCCATGTGTATTGACTTCCAGTAAGATTCATGTTGTATTGGTTTTCCATTGGAATCTTTTTTTGTAGAGGCTCTCAGTAGGAATATTTGTGTAAAGGCTTTCAAAAGGAATCCTTTTCGTAGAGGCTCTGTATGGGAATCTTTTTTTGTAGAGGCTCTCAATGGGATGTTTGTGTGGAGGCTCTCAACAGGAATCCTTTGCACAGGCTCTCAATAGGAATACATGTGTATTGGGTTTCAATGGGGATCCTTTTGTAAAGGCTTTCAATCGGATCCTTTCCTCGAGGCTCTCAACAGGAAGCCTTTTGCACAGGCTCCCAAGAGAAATCCATTTGTACTGGGTTTCAGTGAAGCATCCTTTTGTAGAGGATTTCATCCGGAATTCTTTGTATAGAGGCTCTCAATAGGAAACAGGTTGTAGAGGCTCTCAATAGGAAGCCATGTGTACTGCGTTAAAATAATAATCATTTTGTATTGGTTTTCAATAGGAATCCTGTTCGTAGAGGCTCTCAATCGGAATCATTGTGTAAAGGCTTTCAATAGGAATCTTGTTGTAAAGGCTTTCGATAGGAATCCTTTTCGTAGAGGCTCTGAATAGGAATCATTTTGTCGAGGCTCTCAGCAGAAATCCTTCTGCACAGGCTTTCAATAGGAATCCATATGTATTGGGTTTCAATAGGAGTCGTTTTGTATTGGCTTTGAATCGGAATCCTTTTTGTTGAGGCTCTCAATAGGAATCATGATGTAGAGGCTTTCAATAGGAATCGTTTTGTGGAGGCTCTCAATAGGAATCCTTTTGTAGAGGCTCTCAATAGGAATCCTTATGCAGAGGCTCTCACTAGGAATCCTTGTAGAGGCTCTCAATAGGAATCCTTTTGTGGAGTGTCTCGCTAGGAATCTTTTTGTAGAGGCTCTCAATCGTAATCCTTTTGTAGAGGCTCTCAATAGGAATCATGCTGTAGAGGCCAGCGCGACATGAAAAACCAAAAACAAACACAAGGAAATACAAACCAAACCAAAGACACCAAAGCCTTAAGACTGGAAAACTAAAAAGCCGTTTTGCATGCTGTCTTGCCCGCTAAACGGTCGATGCCGACCACCCACCCGAAGGGCTTGCGCGATGAGACAGAAAGCCGTTCAGAAAGTACAGCAAAACAGTAACTGCGACAGGAGGAGGACGAGAAGGAGGAGGAGGGGGAGGAGGGGGAGGAGGGGGAGGAGGGAGAGGAGGGGGAGGAGGAGTGGGAGGGGGGGAGGACAAGCTAGGTGCGCTCGCGTCATATCTGACGTCCTACCCCTCGCTCCCATCCCTTACCATGGCGCTGATTTTCTCTATCCGCGGACGCGTGTCGTAGCGGACCTGTGGCTCCGCGCGCGCGTGCGTAGTGGGTGGTGGTGCACGTGCGTGCGTGCGTGCGTGTGTGCGTGGTTGTCGTGGTGGTGGTGGTGGTGGTGGTGGTGGTAGTGGTGGTGGTGGTGGTGGTGATGGTGGTGCTGGTGCTGGTGGTGGTGGTGGTGCTGGTGGTGGTGTTGGTGGTGGTGGTGGTGGTGGTGGTGGTGGTGGTGGTGGTGGTGGTGGTGGTGCGGTGCGGCGCGGTGGTGGCGGGCGGATGGGCGCGCGAGAAAAAGGCCCGCGCTGGGGCGAGAACGCCATCCTGAACGACGGAGGCCAAACACCGATCCGAAAATGAGGCCCACGCTGCAGCGGGAGCACGATTCGGAACGATTCGGGAGCAGAAATGAGGCCGGCGCCTCAACGAGAGCAGCATTTTGGGAAAAAATGACGCCGGCGCCTCAGCGAGAGTCGTTTCCCGGGATTTCCAGGGAATCCTGTGTGTAAAACAACAGTACGCGGAGGGTGCGCGGCCATCACCCGGACGCCATCAGGGGAGGAGGGAGAGTATTTTCATATTGAGTAATTGTGGAGGGGGGAGGAGGGCGAGGAGGGGGAGGGGGGAGGCGGAGTGGGGAGGAGGAGTCAGCGAAAACGCTTGAGATAACCAAAAAAAACACAACAAACAAAAACAACAAAAAAAATATGATTTCGGGAGAACTTCTGGGGAAGGGGGGGGGGCACGGTTCTCCCGAAATCATAATGGTTTTGGTTGTTTGTTGGGTTGGTTTGGTTTCTTTGGTTTTTTGTTTTTTTTGTTTTTCCAAGGGGGTCCGCTGTTTTTCGCAATGCCGATCATTTCTCGCAGGTCTTCGAAGGCGTTCGAAGAGAAGGGGGAGGAGGAGGAGGAGGAGGAGGAGGAGGAGGAGGAGGAGGAGCGACGACGAGCAAGAAGAAAAAGAAGAAGAACATGTATGATCATGTGGGGGGGCTATCATATATTTATACATGCATACCTGCATACATACATTCAGACACACATACATACGTACATACATACATACATACATACATACATACATACATACATACATACATACATGCACACATACATACATACATACATACATACATACATACATGCATACATACATACATACATACCTGCATGCATACATACCTACCTACAGGCAGTCATGCATATATGCATGCATGATTGTATGTATACATGCATGCATGCATGCATGCAGACGTACATCCATACATACATGCACACACACACAAAACAAACATACATACGTGCATGTGTACATTACACACATGCATATATAATCCTGGCGAAGGACGTAACCATATGTAGTTGCGAGTCCAGTCGTTGCGGGCATCGCATTCGGGCGTTCTCTTCGTGGGGCCATGAAACATGCGAATGGTGTGCCATTCTGGGGGCGGGACCGCCATGTGGGCGCGACCACTGGGGCCGTCAGTGGAACCCACTATGGGGCCGCGAAACGTGTGAGGAGTCTTCGGAGGAGCTCCCCATGGGGCCACGAAACGCTGTGCTGGGTGGGGGAGACGCATGCGAACACCGCCACTGGGGCCTTCGGTGACGCATAGGGCCACGAAACGCTGTATTGTGTAGGGGGGGACATATGTGAACACCGTCACTGGGGCCGTCAGTGGAGCTCCCTATGGGGCCACGGCGGGCTGCTCTGAGTGGTGGAGGAGCATGCGAACACCGCCACGAAGGCATGCGGTGAACCTCACAACGGGGCCACGAAACGCTGTACTCGGTGGGGAGACGCATGCGAACAACGCCGCTGTGGCCTTCGGTGGAGCTCCCTATCGGGGAACAAAACGCTGTACTGGGTGGGAGAGACGCTTGCGAACACCGCCACTGGAGCCTTCGGTGGAGCTCCCTATGGTATAACGAAACGTTGTACTGAGTGGGGGAAGCGCATGCGAGCAGTGCCACGGGGGCCTTCGGTGGAGCACCCTATAGGCCACGAAACGCTGTACTGGGTGGGGGAGGCGCATGCGAACACCGCCGCTGTGGCCTTCGGTGGAGCTCCCCATGGGGCCACGAAAAGATGCACTGGGCGGGGCGTGCGCATGCGAACACTGCCAATGATGCGTTCGATGGGATTCCTCATCTGGCCAAGAAACGCTGTGATGGGCGGCGGAGGCGCATGCGAACACCGCCACTGGGGCTCTTGGTGGAGCTTCCCATGGGTCCGCAGGACGCTGTACTGGGTGGGGGGACAAGCATGCAAACACCGCCACTGGGGTCGTCGGTGGAGCCCCCTATGGTATAACGAAACGGTATACTGAGTGGGAGAAGCGCATGCGAGCACCGTCACGGGGGCCTTCGGTGGAGCACCCTATAGGCCACAAAACGCTGTACTGGGTTGGGAGGACGCATGCCACTTGGGCCTTCGGGGGAGCTCCCCATGGGGCTGCGAAACGCTGTACTGGGTGGGGGGAGACGCTTTCGAACACCGCCACTGGTGCCTTCGGTGGAGACCCGCATGGGCCATTAAACGTTGTATTGAGTGCGGGGGAGACGCATGCGAACACGGCCACTAGTGCACTAGTGCCTTCGGAGGAGCTCCGAAACGCCGTTGGGTGGGGGAGACGGATGCGAACACCGCCACTGGGGCCTTCGGAGGAGCTCCCCTCTGGGGCCATGAAGCGCTGTACCGTGTAGGGAAGACACATGCGAACACCGCCACTGGGGCCGTCGGTGGAGCTTTCCTCTGGAGCCACGACGCGCTGTATGTTGTAGGGAAGACGAATGCGAACACCGCCACTGGGGCCTACGGTGGAGCCCCCTATGGGACCACAAAGTGCTGTAATGGGCGGGGGGGGCGCATGCGAACACTGCCACTGACGCTTTCGGAGGAACTCCCGATGGGGCCGCGCAGCGTTGTAGTGGGCGGGGGGGGGGGGGACGCATGCGAACACCGCCATTGGGGCCGTCGGTGGAGGTCTCTGTGGGGCCACGAAGCGCTGTACTGGGCTGGAGAGAAGCATGCGAAGACAGCCACTGGGACCATCGGAGGAGCTCCCTATGGGGGATGCTGATGATGATGCTGGTGATGGTGATGGTGGTGGTGATGATGGTGATGATGGTGGTGATGGCGCTGGTGGTGGTTATGAGGATGATGCTGATGATGATGATGGTGATGATGGTGATGATGATGAGGATGAGGATGATGATGGCGTTGATGTTGATGAGAATGATGCCGATGGTGTAGGTGTTGTTGATGATGATGTTGATAGTGATGCTGACGTTGATGGTGATGCTGATGCGGATGCTGATGATGATGATGATGATGTTGATGCTGATGCTGCTGCTGTTGCTGGTGATGATGATGGTGATGATGATGATGGTGGTGATGATGATGGTGGTGATGATGATGGTGATGATGATGGGATGGAGAAGGAGGGGCGAGGGGGAGGAGAGGAGAAGAAGATGAGGAGGACGAGGAGGAGGAGAGCGCGGGGCGCTGTCTCTTCAAAACGAAGACCCAACACCTCAAGATGGTTTAGACAAAACATCCGTCTCGACGCTTCGGGGAAGCGGCGGAGGTCCTCCATGAAGGCGACGTACTGGACGTCGTTGTAGTTGGTCATGGCCTGAAAGGGCGGGACTGGGAGCTCAGTTCCTTGGCCCCTGCAGGCTGCCCTCGTGCTCGAGGCTTCGGCATATAAATAAAAGGCGCCATGTACATACATGTTGCACCTCCGCGTGGAATTCTTGGATCGGCAATGGACCCAAGCAAGACGGTGCACACTGGAGCTGCTTCTACGCTGAAACAAGCTACCTCTGCTGACTGGGGGACATCCCAGGGGTCGTCTCATGGCAAGCATGCGGCTGCTCTTGTGGCCATTTCCGCTCCTCAGAAGCAGCAGCTTCTGCAGACCCGTCAAAGGCATCGGCACTGAACAAGGCACAAACACCAGCGACATTACGTATTGCATGTATACTGTAATATAGCGCACCTGCCAGATCGCTAAACAAGATGCGTCCCGTCCTGCTGTGGAGATTCGAAGAGACAGATGACCTAGATGCGCCAGGCCTGCAAGCCATGGGAACAATTCTCGTCATACTAGGCGAAATGGGGAAACAAAAAACACCAGATAATGACGCACGGGCCGTGCTAATACGTGCTAGTTGCACACTCTTGCACAATAGAGGACGAAGGCTTCTGAGCGTATGCAACATTCAAGGTCGGTTGAAGAACTGCATGAGTCAAGAGGGCGCCAGGACGCCAGGCGTGCTGGGCGTTCCGCACGTGCTGGACATGCAAGACATGTCGCGCGAGCAGGGCAGTCTGCAGGGCGGCCAACAGTTGCAACAGGGACGGAAGAAGACTGGATACGTTGAACAAGGGCGCATGCTTCTGCCCCGAAAGCTCACGTTCCCCTCTCCTGGCTCTCGTGTGGCAGGCATAATTATCTAGGCTTGTCAGCTGAACATGGTCACCCACGGGACTCGTAAAGCATGCGCTGGCCATCCAAGGGGCAAACTCCCCTTCCACCCAAGAGAAAACTGCACACATGAATATCAAAAATGAACGGAACTCTGCTTCCGGTCAGCATCCGCTCAATGTCTGTTCCATGACGCCTGCCAGACGCTGCTCCACCTTGCCTTTCCTTTCGAGCCGCGCCCAGCGATGGTGGCGGCGTGCCCCGTTGCAGGGAGTTGGGAAGTGAGAACCACCACCATCAGGGGGACAGTATCTGTGTATCTGGCGGGGCACAAATGCGCAGGACGCCTTGCGGAAGCACCAAAGAAGTTCAAACCATATACCACCGATCCGACCCCTCCTCTGCCCCCACCTCTTCCAGGTGGTGATGGCGATAGTCCTTCCTCCTGCCCCATCCTCCGACGACGCAATTGTTTCGCGACGTTGGCCCCGGGGGTCTCGATCTCTTCCCAGGGATTTGCTTGTTTCATCCTGCATCATTCGTTTCTTGGTGGCCCAGGGCCAGAAGACGTCCTCCGGAGGCCGAGACCGTAAGCAAGTGACGACATCCGAGCCCTACATCGGCTCGATGGGAGGCGGGGTTAGGGTTAGGATTTCGCCACGTGTTCGACGGATTCCTGGCTCCCTTGAGACCGTTTTGAGGAGGCCTTCTTGGGAGCCTGTTGGATAGTTTTTTGTCACCCGCGAGTTGGGGGAAAAACTTAATGTCGCCAAGGAAGAGAGAGCTGGCGACTGTGCCAGCGCACCGCGAATTGCAGTTCCTTGACATGCGCGCTCGGCCGTCTTCAATCACCTGACTTTGCGCTGTCCAGGACTGGGCACAGGCAGGTTGGGGGTCTGTTGGGTCATCTTGGGGCTCTCTTGGGCCTATCTGAGCCGCCCTGGTGGTCTATTGGGGTTGTTGTGGGGCCGTCTGAGGTCCTGTTGCTCGGTCTTGGAGAACTACTCAAGAGGGCAAAAGGGTATCTCAGGACGGATCGACCCCCTCCCTACACGTGGAGGCAGATACGAATGCCTTATAAGGCGCTGAGGCGTCGAAGCAGTGGGGCGCCCTCTTCGTCCCGGCCTCATACTGGGCTCCGATCAGATGAGGTCGGAAGATAGCGCCGCGTTGCCGATGTATCGTCGATGTGGCTCGATGCGGGACCCGACCCTCTCCACGCCGACGGTTCAGCCTCCGGAAGCCGCCTGCCTGCCTTTGGCGCAGGATGAAAAGCTGGCCCCCTGGAGAGAGGTCGCGACCCCCGGGGCCAGCGTCGCAAGGCGGCACTGGACGTGGAGACCGCCCCGGACTACTCGGGGGGTGGGGGTCCTGATGAGGCCAGCCAGGACTACCTTGTGAGGCTGTCTGTGCACAACCCTCCCGTTGCTTTCCCACTGCTTCCCCAGTGCTTCCCCAGTGCTTTCCTCATGCTTTCCCAGTGTTTTCCCCGTGTTTTCCCAGTGCTGCCCCAGTGGCTTCCCAGTGTACCCCGAGCCTTACCAGTGCGTTCCCTCCCCCAGTGTGGCAAGCTCGGGAGCGGCCAAGAGGGGGGTGTCCAAGAGGGGGGGGGTGCAAATCATGACCGGCGGCATGTGCGCGGCCCAGCGGGGGGGGCAGGGACGTAAAGAAATAAGAAGAGGCGCCATGAAATCTGGGGAAATATCATGGCCCCCGCCATGATATCCACCCCCCCTAGTCATCACCCCCCTCTTTTCCGCCCCCGACAGTGTGGCAAGCGCGGGGGCACGGTGCGGGCTCCGCTCCTGCCGGGACTTGCCCTTCAGCCAGAGGTGCTGGTCCGCGCGGGCCCGGCGCTGCTGGCTGGTCTGGCGCGGGCGCTCGGGAGGCGGCGCCGCCCGAACCCCGGCGTCGGGGGGGCAAAGAGTGCGACAGGGGTCATCCTCCTCCTCCTCCTCCTCCTCCTCCTCCTCCTCCTCGTCCTCCTCCTCCTACTCCACCTCCTCCTACTCCACCTCCTCCTCCTCCTCCTCATCATCATCATCATCTTCTTCTTCTTCTTCCTCGTTCTCCTCCTCCCTCCTCCTCCTCCTCCTCCCCTCCCCTCCCTCCCTCCTCCTCCTCCTCCTCCTCCTCCTCCTCCTCCTCCTCCTCCTGAATCCTCCTCCTACTAGTCCTCCTCCTCGTCCTCATCCTCGTCCTCCTCTTCCCCTCCTCTCCTCCTCCTCCTCCTCCTCCAGCTCCTCCTCCTCCAACTCCTCCTCCTCCTCCCTCCTCCTCCTCCTCCTCCTCCTCCTCTCCTCCTCCTCGTCCTCCTCCCCCTCCTCCTCCTCCTCCTCCTCGTCCTCCTCATCCTGCTTGTCCTCCTCCTCCACTCCTTTTCCTTCGGGAAAACTCCTCCCTGTCGCAGCACGAGGGCAGTCAGAAGGGTGGGCCAGGCGTTGCGCCTGAGACCTCCGTACCACTGATGAGCCTGAATCTTGAAAGCTGACAACGGCTTCACAGATAGACGGCGGGATGTTTTCACAAGGTGGGGTTGGCCTTAGCGCCGCGCACATTGCTTTAAGAAAGAACAAAAGATTCACTGATTGAGGGCGGGTGGTTTTCAAAATGTGGCTCTCGCGTGCGCTGCGCGCATTCTAGTTGAAAAGTTGCGAGAGTTCCACAGATCGAAGGCGGGTCGTTTTCAACATGTGGCCCTCGCCTCAGCGCCCAGTCGTTTTTGTAAACATTGGCAAGAGCTTCACGGATTGAAGGCGGGTGGTTTTCAAAATGTGGCTCGCTTCAGCGCCGCGCGCTCTCGCTTTAAACGCTCGCAGCAAGAGCTTCACGGATTGTGGGCGGCTCCTTCTCAAAAAAAATGTATCTCGCCTTAGTGCCGCGCACAGTCGTCCTGAAATTGTCAATAGTGACACTGATTCTCATAGTCAACGCAGCAGAATCGGTGTTTTGGAACGAGTCGGGATTGTCAGGGCGCAGCAGCTTACACTGGTTCGCGGTGCTAAAATCCCAGGAACGGTGCCCTGACACGATTCATGATCGCCAAGACGCGACAGTCAGGCTCACTAGTGGCGTTGTAGTCCTGAGAATGGTGTTTTGGCACGCTTCAGGACTTTCCCATGGTTGTCCCACCACGGGGCAATTGTCTCAGTGGAAATGAACCCGTGTAGGGGCCTAAGAAGAAGGAGCTTTGAGGGAGGCTGCATTCAAACATCTTTGACGAGTCTTGGGTTTACACAGGTCCTCGTCCTCCTTCCCTCCTACTGCTCCTCCTCCTGCCTCCTCCTCCTACACCCTAGAACTCCCAAAGCCTATCAAACCTCAGCGAGAGCTTCTCTCCATACTCCTGCCTTGATAATGTTCCTCCCTCCCTCCCCCCATCCCTCCGCCATCCTCGCATTCATCCTCCTCCACCTCCTCATCTTCCGTGCGAGCAACTCCCCCGCTGGCGTGTCACCAGGCGTGTCAGTAGGCCAGGCTGGGCGATTCGCTCGAGACTTCGTGACAAACAAATACCCCGAAGCATACATTGCTCAACACCTGCGCGGATGGAGGCCAGAGCCTGTTTCAAACTGTGGCCCTCGCCTTTCCAAACAATAATGGGAGCCAGATCTTGTTCAAAATGGGGCTCTCGCCTCAGCGCCACGCACACTCGCCTTGACGGCTTGCAACTTAGAGGGGTGAACGCCGGCTCGTTTTCACAGTGAGGATCTCGCCAAAGACGTTCTCGGAAAACACGAAATTCGCAACCATTACACGGATGGACGCCGGCTCGTTTTCAAAATGGGTCTCTCGCCCAATACCTCTTCTAACAAATTTCCAAGAGCATAAACTTGCGCAGCAGATATACGGAAGGAGGACGGCTCCATTTCCAAATGGGGCTCTCGCGTGAGACTTCCTCAAATTCAACCACCAGAAGCTTGAACATATGTAGCACCTGCGCGGTAAGAGGCAGGATCCTTTTCAAAATGGGGCTCTCGCAAGGACTTCGTCAAAGTCAGCAACCAGAAGTATCCAGTTGCAACTTCCAGTTTCCACTGTTACAGTTCTGCTTCTTGCTGCTTACTGTTCCTTGTTGACTTCTTGCTGCTTACTGTTCCTTGTTGATGGACCGCGCGAGGGGGGGAGGCCCAAAACAGGCATTTTTACCACACCCAAATCGTATGCTCTGAATTGCTGGGGTGGGTAAAAAATTCGGTGGCACCCCTCACGCAGATCGGCGGGGTCAGGGTCCAAAAACACAGGGGATTGTCCACATTTCTGAAACTCGGTGGCACCCCTCACGCAGATCAGCGGGGCCAGGGTCCAAAAACACATGGGATTTGCCACATTTCTGAAATTCGATGGCACCCCTTGTACAGATCAGCGGGGTCAGGGTCAAAAAAAACGGAGGATGTGCCACATTTTTAAAATTTGGTGACACCCCTCACGCAGATCGGCGGGGTCAGGTTCCAAAAACACTACGAATGCGCCACATTGCTGAAATTTGCTTGCACCCCTCACGCAGAAAGGCGGGGTCAGGATCCAAAAACACATTGGATTTGCCACATTTCTGAAATTCGGCGGCACCCCACCCCTCACGCAGATCCGTAGGGTCAGGGTCGAAAAACAAACAGGTCCCGACACTGCTTCACGGCGGCGCCCAGACCTCATGATTTAGCTTTGGCATCTCCCATGATACGAGACAGGGGGCCGGCGGTAGGGGGCGAAGCCCTTACGGATAAACTTGCGCGACAGATACATGGATGGGTGGCGGTTCCTTTTCAATGCAGAGCTTTCGCCGGACACCTCGCTGAACTGTTTGTTCAAACAGGTTTTGAACTCAAAAACTGGTTTCTGAGTTCAAAAACCAGCTTTTGAATTCAAAAACGAATTTATTGCATTCAAATCCAAATTTTCTAAATTCAAAAACTCATTTTTTAATTCAGAAAACAAAGTTTTTATTCAAAAAACAATTTTGAACTGAAAAACCCATCTCTTTGCACCAGTTATAGCTTGCAGGGACGGGTAGGGCGGGGACATCTGCCGGGGGGGTGTATTGCAGCATACTGACGCATCTTTGGTTTACTCGGGTCCTAGACAGGTCGGTATGGCGGGCCAAGCGTTTCGCCTGAGACTTGCTCACCACTGATGATGCTGAACCCTGGAATCTGCAACACCTTCAAGGATGGAAGGCTGGTCTGTGTCACAATGGGACTCTCCCCTTAGCGGCGCGAGTTCCTTACAAGCTTGCAGCCTCTACAAGGAAGGAGGGGGGGCGCCGTTGTAAATGGGGCCCTCGCCTCAGCACCGCGCGCATTCGTCTTTCAGGTTCGCAAGAGCTTCGAATGTGGAGGGCGGGTCATTTCCAAAACGAGGCTCCTGCACCACACACAGATGCGCCCTAAAGTTTTTGGAAACAGCTTCGAGGATGGAGGGGGGTCCTGTTCAAAACGTGGCTCACGCCACGGCGCCGCCCACTCGTCGATAAACATCGCGCCAGCCACCTGGATAAACATAGTGTTCTCGCCCCAGTGCCGCGCTCATCCGTTCTCAAGATCAGCAGCTGCACGGATGCGGGCCGGATCCGTTTCAAACGGTGGCTCTCGCCGTAAAAAAACGCACACATGGGCCTTACACGTTTGCAACGGGTTCAAATCTGGAGGACCACTCCGTTTCGAGGTGAGACGCTCACCTCAGCGCCGCACAGATTCGCCTGAAAGCTTGCAGCAGTTAACTGCGAAGATGAGGACGATTCATGTTCGAAATGAGGCTATCGTTTGAGCCACCCTTACTTACACAAACATATATCTTCGACACGTGTAGAAGTGCACGGATCAAGGACGGCTCAGTCAAAAATGGAGCTCTCGCTTGCGACTTCCTAAAACCTCATGGCCACAAATGAAAACGTGTGCATCTGTTACACGGATGGGGACCCTTTTTGTTCGAAGGGGCGGTCTCGCTGTACACCCCGCTGAACTGCATGATCCTACTTGTTCGCATTCTCGGTTACGCGCCAAAGGATGCGAGGCAATTCCGTGTCAGAACGGAGCTCTCGCACGCAAGGCAGGGCGCCTATGGTGCTGGTCTTTCAAGGTGGCCCTTATTGCAGTGAAACCGAAGGCTTGCAGAGACGTGCGAGGATGAGACTTCAGACGGGAGGGTGTGGTGCAGCGTCGCTGGTGCGCAGTGGATGTACTCTGGGCCTCTTCCTCCTGCTCGTACACCCCTGCCTCTCCAAATCCCTCCCCCGGACACCGAGTGGACCCCGCCTTCTTCTGCGACGGGGCCCCGATCTCCCCGTAATTAGCTCCACGTGTTGTGGGACGGTCAGGCTCATCGCGCCGATCATGCATCGGCTTCTGAACAGGGCCTGGGCCAGGCTGCCTCAGCTGCATGGGTCCAGGATTCGGTCTCCTGTCAGAGGCTACCATGATGCGCTCAGGGCTGACTGTCCTGTCCCCCCGCCGGCTGGAGCACTCAGAGGGGCACCACATGAGCATTGATCAGATCGCGTTTGAGGTAAGCTGCGCGGCAGTTGGTGAGGCCACGTAGCGCTGGATTTGGCGGCGCGTCCTTGCGAGGCACTCGTCTTGAGCCTCTCGGTTTCCCCTGCGTCCCAGCCTTGCGCGTCTCAGGCCCCTCTTCTTGCCGGGGGCCCTGGGGCCCGACTGCTCTCGTGTCCAGGGGCGATTGCTTTCTGGATGGCTTGGGCCCAAGAAGCGCCAATACGAATCTGGAGGCGCTGTGAACCCAACTGCCCTGCGTGCGGAGATACGGGCACGCGTCTTCATAGGTTCTGGAGCTGTCCACCGCAGGACCAGTTCCGGCGATTGTATGCAAGCGCGTCTTCCGGGCCAGTCAGATGCCCAAGCTTGGTAGTAGCAGCACTGCTGACCAGACCTGGTCTAGACTCGGCCTTATCCTGACGGAAGAGTGGTTTGGACGCTCTGGTCACCAGACCTTCTCCACGATGTGGCCGTCTTCCGAAATGGATCAGGGAAGCATTGTCGCCTCGCGCGTGTCAGGCATTGCGGTTGGGGCCTCTGCCCACCAGATCACGTTTACGACGTGGTCGCTCGGCCGCACGGCTCTCTCCCCGCTCTGGTGCCCACGGCGCCAACTGTGGAACTGGCTGCCTTCCTCATGACGCTGCGTCATATGACCGCCCAGGTGTAGACAGGGAGTGAAAGGCCCGGTGGCGGCACTGCGGCCAGCGACGTCATGCCTATTAGAGGGAGGCGTTGGAGCGTGTCTTGGACGACGTGGGGGGGGAGAGTCGGTGAAAATCAGGTCAAAGCTCACGCACCTTCGTCGGCGGTTGCTGACGGTGCTATATCCCAGAGCGGCAGACCCTTGGGCAGTCCAAGGCTGGTGAGTCAGCAGAGCTGAGAACGGCTTCGCGCCCGTCCGCCCCCTGCCCTCGTCCGAGCCCGCCCGGACGCCCGCGGGGCCGTCACAACGGTGGCCCGGTGTGTCAACGGAGGCTCCTCTCGCAGAGGCTCGTGGTGGTTCGCGGAGCCCAGGTGCTGTAAGTTGCCTCTACGAGAGGCGCGGAACCCAACCCTCTCGTGGAGGTTCGTGGTGGCACTACCGTTGGTGCGGTCGAAAAAAACAACGACAACTAAAAAGAGATCCCTAAGGATGCCCAGGCCAGAAGGGTTGGGAAGAGCGATCGACACGATCGAAGGCGGCTGGCCCGCCGTCAGGGGAGGAACGGGGCGGGCGCCAGAGGTCCCCCCCCCCCTCCCCAGGCCTGCAAGCGAGACCCTCGCTGGCGCAGCCCCTTTTGGAAATCCTTCTGGACTCCGCCCCTGGGCGCCCCCCATCGACTCGGCGGCGAGCGAGGGGGAAATGAGAAGGAGAAGGCCTTCTCAGAAGGCGGCGGAACTTCTCAAAGCCCTCGCGCCTTCTGAGAAGTTTTCTGCGTCTTGAGGGAAGGCTTCGAAAATTTCTCCTCACAAGGCTGGGGGACTTCCGAGCCTTCTGAGAAGGCCTCTCCTTCTCACTTCCCCCCTCGCTCGCCGCGATCGACTTCACGCCAGAAGAGTGGCCATGAAGCAGGAATGACCTGTGGTGGGGAAGCCCACAGGCACCAACACCGCCACTCCCTGGGCCACTCCCAGGGTGCGTTCTGGCCAGAATCCCGAGGCAAGTCCAGCAGTGGCGACGAGGGCCTCCCAGGAGGCCCAACAGAGCGAAAACGCGGCGAGGGCAGGGGCACGGGTACGTCAGGTTCGTGTCGTGCCGACTGCGGCGTTAGTTTCTGACACCGCGGGGATCGTTCAAACTTGAACTGAAACGATCGGCCGTTTCCGACACGTCCAAATCGTTCCACGTCGAACGATTCTGGCTCGCCCGCGGCGTTCAAAGTTGAACGCCGCTGGCGGGGCCGCCGCCGGTCGACACGACGCGAACCTGCCGTACCTGTTCCTCCTCCGGCTTGGTGCGCGGCCCACCGATCGCTGCACGCAGCGGCCTGCCCCTGGATAGCTCCCCCCTCCCACGCGCCGCCGGAAAGCCGCGCAGCAACGGCCCCTCTGGCGGCGGGGCCGCTCCTGCGCGGAGCCCCTCCTCCTCCTCCTCCTCCTCCTCCTCCTCCTCCTCCTCCTCCTCCTCCTCCTCCTCCCCGCGGCCTGCGGGTCCTAACGCAGGCCTCGGGCGGCCCCCGCGGGACGCTCCGCAGGGCGACGAAATCTGCACCTGTCCTCTGCTGCCTGGCCAGGCCCATCCTGTTCCCAGCAGCGGTGTGTACGCCACGCCCGCCTGGCTTGGCCAGGAGAGCTGGTGGGCTTGTTTTCGAGTACCACCACCATAAGTAGGAGGGGGAGGGGGTCCTCCTCCTCTTCTTCTTCTTATTCCTCCTCATCATCCTCCACCTCCAACTTACGGTGGTGGTGGTGGTGGAAAACAGGCCCATCAAGAGCGTCTACACAGCTCCTGGGTGAAGGATGGGCCTGGCCAGGTGAGCAGTGGGCATGCACACATGTCGTCGCCCGACGGGACGGTCCCGGCAAACCCGGAAACGCTCTCGGTGAGGCGCGGCTGCTGGAGCGCAGCCCAAGGCAGAAGAGCGCCCAGGGGGCCGACGAAAGCGCCCGAGAAAACCCTGCCGCCAACCCCTCCGAGCCCGCAGCGCCCCACAGCGCTCCCGCAGCGGAGGCCGAATTCGGCATGAAGGGAACGGGTCCTGAGGGAGATGGGTCCTGCACCCCGGGGACTTCCCCCAACACCAGCTCTTTTTCTGACGGACCTGGGGCCCGTGGAGGGCCCCGAGGGCGCCCGAAACGGCGAAAGCATCGCAGGACCCGTTTCCCTCAGGACACCTTTCCTTCGTGGCAACGAGTCCCACGCGAGCCGCGGCCGCGCCGGCTGCGGGATCGGCGCGGAGTCCTGCTCCCCCGCCGGTGGCGTCTCGAGGGCCAAGTCGAAGGCCTGGGGGGGGGGGGGGGGGCATAACGGCTGCCGGCCACCAGGCACCAAAGGGGGTCACCAGGGGCCTCGGCAGCCACCAGCCACTCGGGGTTCGCAGGAGGACGAGGAGGAGGAGGAGGAGGAAACGAAAATGAAGGGAGAGAATGAGGAGGGGGAGTAGGATGAGGAGGAGGAGGAGGAAGAGGAGGAGGACGAGAAGGAGGAAGAGGAGGAGGACGAGGAGGAGGAGGAGGCGAAGACGGCGGCGGCGGCGTCAGCGGCAGAGACAAAATCAGGAGGGCGAGGGGGAGAAGCAGGATGTGAGGGCAGGTGCAGGTGCGGGGGGGAACGGGGGGCGGGATGGGATGGGGGAGGAGGTGGAGTAAAACAAGGAGGGCGAGGAGGAGAAGCAGGAGGAGAGGGTAGGTGCAGGTGCACAGGGAAAAGAAATTGGGGTGAGGGGCGTTGACATGGAGGAGGAGAAGGAGGAGAAGGATGAGGATGATGAGGAACAATGATAACCATCATAATAATAAGCCATCAACTTCATCTTCATCATCAGCAGTATCGTCAGCATCAGCATCATCATCATGTTCATCATCATCATCATCATCATCATCAGCAGCAGCAGCAGCAGCACAAACATAATCATCATCACCGTCATCATCATCACCACCATCATCATCATCACCAGCAGCAGCATCAGCATCATCCTCATTGGAATAATACTAGTGGCACGAATCAGAATACGACTAATAATAAGTATACGAGTAACAACAACAACAATAATAAAAACACTAGAAATACAATAACTTAGTACTAATAATAGTCGGAGGACGGGGGAGGAGAAGGAGGGAGGCGAAGGTGGGTGCAGGAGTAGGAAGGAACAGGGGAGAGGGGGAGGGCAGAGAGGGGGAGGGCACAGGAGAAGGGGGGAGGGGGAGGGGAAGGGGGGAAGGGGAGGAAAGGGGAAGGGAGAGGGAAGGGCGAAGGGAAGAGATGGGGTAAGAGTGGATTAACGATGGGCTGGACCTGCGGGTGTGGCACAAGATCCGCAGGGGTGGGGGGGAGGGGGCGCTCCCCAAAGCCCCCACGAACTCCCCGAACGCACCACCCCGGGGGGAAGCAGCTGGCACCCCTGAAAACGAAACAGGGGCAGAAATCCTCCATTCTCTGCACACCTCGCCTCCCTCCTCCCTCCTCCCTGCCTCCCTCCTCCGTCCTCCATTTTCCTTCCTCTCTCCTCCCTCCCTCTCTCTTCCATCCTCACTCCCTCCCTCACTAATTCTATCCTCCCGTCTTCCTCCTCTACATCCTTCCCTCGGCCATCCCTCCCTCCCCCCTCCACGTCGTCATCAGTCTGTACTCATAATTCCCCAAACAGTACTTACACTCTGGACCTCTTATTTCTTGTCTAAGGAGCTGGGCCTGTCTGTCGGTCTGGCGGCGATGTTGTAGCCGTCGCCGCCCCGTCGCCGCCTCGCCGTCGCCCATCGTCTGAATATGTCTGCCGGTCTGGCGGCTACGTTGTCGCCGTCGACACCCCGTCGCTACCTCGTTCTCGCCCGTCGTCTGGGCCAGTCCGTCGGTCTGGCGGCCATGTTGTCGCCGACGCCGCCCCGTCGCCGCCTCGTCGCCGCCCTGGATTGTGCACCACAAAGGTTGCGCTGCACAGATTGACCCGCTCATCTTGAACAACTTAGCTTGCTCAACGTAGATTCTCCTTTCAAAAAAATCTACCACCCCCCTCCTCCCAGGGTTCAAGGCCCCCAGGGAACTGGTGCGAAACGCATAGGATTCTGACCCAATGTCCATCCGACCTGTCAATTCATACTATCCCAGCCAGGCCGGTATCCGCCCCCCCCCCCCCATCCTTTGCCAAAAAAGTATGCGCGCGCACTCGTTTATCAAAAAGCATAAGTGTTCAAGAATCAATCGAAAACAAAGGACGAAGTGCACACGCGCGCGTCGCCGCGCGCGCACGCCAAAATCCTTCAGAAACCTGCGATTTCGGAAGGAGTTTAAATTCGAATGTCCCTAAAACATATAGAAACACATGGTTTCGCAAGGCGGATTATGTATAATGCGCGCGCTCTTGCGAATTCGTATGAAACCCATAAGTTGTTCAACATGTAAAAACATGTTACCAAACGGGTTGCGCGCGCACATGTCGAAATCGATCGAACGCCGTTGCGCGAGTGCCGTCGCGAGAATACTCGGGAAAAAACGGGACGAAGCGCACGCGCGCGCAACCGGCGGTTTGGTGATGACTTTCGAACCGAATGTCCAAACACATACAAAACACATGGTTTCGCAAGACGGATGTTCAACAAAAGCGTGCGCGCGCGGTCTGGCGAAATACTACGAAAAGCATACCAAGTGTTTCCAGGATTCTCATACAATGCTACCGAACGGGCTCTGCGCGCTCGCATGTCGAAATCGTTCGAACGCCCTTGCGCGAGTTGGGGTGGCACGATCCGTATCAAATGATACCATTCGAGCAACTCTCGCACGTCTGCCGCGCGCGCATTTCGAATTCGCTTCAAAACCTCCACCACCGACGCGAAGACGCCGTCATCGTCGTCGGCGTGATTGGCATCGGCACCGTCACTGGCCGTGCCGTCGTCGCTGTCAGCATCGTCACCAACATCGCTACTACCATCATCATCATCATCATCATCACCATCATCATCATCATCATCATAATCATCATCATCATCATCATCATCGTGTCTACACTTGTCGACGTTGCCATGATACCGCGCCCACCCAAGTCGCCGACTCGCATTCAAGTGCCCGCCTGGATGTGCCGAGCGGTCAACACCACCGCGGCCGCGTCGGTCGCGCCAAGCTACTGGGCCGCTGCGCGCGCGCGCATGCGCGGGCTGGCGCGGCCGCAGAGATGCACCAGCCAGCGCCAAGCACTCATCGCAATCGCCGCCGCATGAGTTTTGCAAACCAAGTTGCGCGTGGGTGGGTGGGATGTTTGTGCGAGCAGTGGGGTGGACAACTCACTGCGAAGAGCAAGTAATTCTCCTTTCTAATAGAAGAATAGACTCTGGCCCCCCTCAGAATTAACGGCACGCCCTGGGGTATTGCGATTTCATAGTTATTCTGCACATTTGTCCACCCGAACTATGAATTCGTACTTTCCCAGCCAGGCCGGTATCACTCCCCCCCGCCATCCTCTGCAACAAATACTATGCGCGCGCTCTCGTTTATCAAAATTCATTAAGTTTTCAAAATCCTTTGCACAACATGGGACGAAGTGCACACGCGCGCGTCGTCGCGCGCGCATGCCGAAATCCTTCAAGAACCTGCGGTTTCGGAAGGAGTTCAAAACCGAGCTTCCAAAAAAAAACATACAAAAACACATGGTTTAGCAACACTGAATTCCCAAAAAAAACTTACGCGCTCGCCCTTGCGAAATCTTACGAAAACCATATGTTTTCAATATTTCCAAAAAAATGCTACCACACGTGCTTCGCGCGCGCATGTCGAAACCTTTCGAGAACCCTCTGCGGAAAAAACGAGACGAAGTGCACACGCGCGCGTGGTCGCGCGCGCATGCCGAAATCCTTCAGAAGCCTGCAATTCCGGAAGGATTTCAAAATCGAATCCAAAAAACATAACCAAAAGAAAACAGGTTTCGCAACACGGATGTTCAACAAAAGCGCGCGCGCGCTCTTGTGAATCCTTATGAAATGCATAAGTCCTGGCAACACAAACATAACATGCTACCAAGCGGGTTTCGCGCGTGCGCACGTCGAAATCGTTCGGACGCCCTTGCGCGCGTGCTGGGGTGGCACGATGCAGACGCGCGCGTCGTCGCGCGCGCATGCCGAAATCCTTCAAGAAGCGTCGGCTTCGGAAGGATATCAAAATCGAGTCCCCAAAAAACATAGCAAGAACACAAGGTTTCGTAATACGGATGTTCAACAAAAGCGTGCGCGCGCGCTCTTGCGTCGTCGTCGTCGTCGCCGTCCTCCCTCCTCCCTCGTCGTCGTCGTCGTCGTCGCCGTTGTCGTCCTCTGTCTTTCCTCGTCGCCGTCGTCGTCGTCTTGGCGTAGTCGTCGTTTCCGTCGTCGTTGTCGCCGTAGTCGTCCTTCCTCCCTCGTCGTCTTCGTCGGCGTTTCGTCGTTGTCCCTCCTCTTTCGTCGCCGTCGTCGTCGTCGTCTTCCCTCCTCCCTCGTCGTTGTCGTCGTCGCCGTCGTCGTCCTCCCTCCTCCCTCGACGTCGTCGTCGTCTTCGTTGGCGACGTCGTCGTCGTCGTCTTCGTCGTCGTCGTCGCCGTCGTCGTCGTCGTCGTCAGCGTTGACGTCGTCGTTGTCGTCGGTGTTGTCGTCGTCATCGTCGTTGTCATCGTCGGCGAAGTCGTTGGAGACGTCGTCGGTCTCGTCGTAGTCGTTGTCGGCGGTGGCGTCGTCGTCGTCGTCGCTGTCGTTGTCGTCATCGGCGTCGGTGCCGTTGCCAAACGCAATTTGGTACCCACCGCCACGGTCTTAAGAGGTTTTGCGACCAAGTTGCGGGTGGGAGGGTGGGATGTTTGCACGAGCAGTGGAGAGGACAGCTTCAAGTTGAGCAAGCGATTGGTTCTCCTTTTCTAAAAAGAGAATAGACCCGACCCCCCCCCCGGACTTAACGCTTCCCCCTGGAATAGAATGATTTCATATATATATATATATATACTGCACACTCGTCCATCCTAAAAATGAAATGATAGCATCCCAGGCAGGCTGGTTTCCCCCCCTTGAGATTCCCTTGTGAAAACCACTATGCGGTGCCATTTGTGTTTTAACATAGCACTGTTTCACGAATCCCTTTGCAAAAAAATATGACGAAGTGCACACGCGCGCGTCGTCGCGCGCGCATGCCGAAATCCTTCAAAAACCTTCGGTTCCGGAGAGACTTCAAATTGAATTTCAAAAAAAACCTACGAAAATACACGGTTTCGTAACACTGAAGTGCTAAAAAAGCTTACGCGCGAGCTCTTGCGAAATCTGCACAAAAACCATAGGTTT